CAAAAAGACACCTGCACCCCAATGTTCATAGCAGCACTATTTACAATAGCCAAGACATGGAAACAGCTTAAATGTTCATCAACAAATGACTGCATAAAGAAGATGTGGTATATTTATACAAAGGAATACTACTCAGCCATTAAAAATAATGCCATTTGGAGCAACATCAATGGATATAGAGATTGTCATTCTAAGTGAAGTAAGCCAGACAGAGAAAAATACCACCTGATATCACCTAAATGTGGACTCTAAGTTAGTTTTTCTTTTTCTTTTTTATTTACAAAACAGAAACAGACTCACAGACATAAAAACAAGCATGATTAATGGCAGGAAGGGGGTGGGAAGGGATAAATTGGGAGTTAGAGATTTGCAGATACTAACTACTATATATAAAATAGATAAACAGCAAGGTCCTAATGTACAGCACAGGGAGCTATATTCAGAATCTTGTAGTAACCTATAATGAAAAAGAATATGAAAAGGAATATGTGTATGTATAGGTATGACTGAAACATGCTGTACACCAGCAATTGACACAACATTGTAAACTGACTATACTTCAATTAAAAAAAAACAAGGTCCTACTGTATAGCACAGGGAACTGTATTCAATACCTTGCAGTAATCTATAATGAAAAAGAATATACATGTATTATATGTATAACTGAATCACTATGCTGTGCATCAGAGACTAACACAACATTGTAAATCAACTATACTTCAATAAAACTAACTAAAAATAAAAAATAAAAATTTTTAGAAAGCCAAACCCAAAAATCTAACCAGGAAAAAAGAGAGCAAAGACCCATTAAAAAAAAAAAAGAATCATGACCATATGCTTGTTAAAAATGCAGATTCCCAGACTTGATGAATAGTATTCCTAACCTTGAGCTATCAAAGTCCCATTTTTCACAGCTGATATCATGATTAGCTTACATTCTGGATGACCCCCTAGACAGTTGAGCTCCTAGTCTCAGCCTCTGATCAAATGGAGGGCCAGGCAATGAGGGAGGGGAACACGGAAGGAGACAGACTTATGAAGGCCAAAGGAGTAGTGGGAAGTGTGGTAGGAAGATGCTGGACTGTTTCAGGTGCACAGCCACGGAGCTACGCCTAAAGGCAGACTCCGATTATGACAGCCATTTGTTTTCCAGTTTCTACAACGTTCACCTTTGTAGTTGACTCTGTCCTTGGGCATGATCTGCCCCCATGACACATCCAGTATCACAGTGAAACCCTCCACAAATCACAGAGTCGATGACAAAGAACTTGGTGGAAAATAAAATGTCCAAAGATCCAATGGTCAGGGCAAAGTTTTGTAAGATGGCAATCAACATGTCACAAAAAAACTGTATAAGAGCTGGTAATGTGAAATATATTTCCCAATTCCACACCACACCTAAATTCCCAAGTCCATGCCAGTTCCTATTGCTCATTTCATGCACTGCACAGCTTTATAAGTCCTTTCCCAGTGAGAAAGAGAAACCAGCCCACCTCCTTCCCTTTTCTTATGACACATATTTCACACAGTGACAGACACAGTAGAATGCAGATTGCAGGAAAAACAATGCCTGTAATTTCTGGCTGCCAACTTCACTCAAAGTTGGATTTAGGGAGAGTTCAGACACAGCAGGGAGGAGATGTGTTTCTACATCATTTTTTTTCTCTTTCAGAAAGTGATTGATGGATGGGAATTCAAAGTTTATTCTAGAATACAGATCTATTCAAAATGGACCCCTGACAGGTCATTACCTCAGACCCCCCTCATACTGATAGCTAATCCCCTTGTCTCTTTTCTAAGAACAAATCTACATTTTCTCCTCCTTTCCTGCTGCCACTACTCACTGGACATTTTGAAAACAAGGTACTTTCATTTTCTTAATCATTAGGGACAAATGAAATTAATCTGGGGTCTGGAACACTTGGCCATTCTAGGTCACTATGCAACGGATTAAAAAAATCCATGTAATGGACTCTAATGATTAGATTTTTTAAATTCTAGTTTAAAAACAATTACATTGCAGACACCACTTAGGATGCATACGGCTTTCATATTGGAACCCAAAGGTCAGGTGTGACGAGTATGGGCCTTCTGGTCACTAACATCACCCCATCTCTTCTCTAGGTTAGCGGCTCCCAAAGTGGCTGTGTATCAGATTCACCTGAGGAGTTTAATAAAAATGCAGATTTTCTGACTCAACCCCGACAAGAAGAATCTGACTTTCTGGAGTTGGGGGCCCAGGAGTCTAATTTTCCTTTTTCTTTTTAAAAAAAGGATAAGCTCCCTGAGTGATTCTCATACAGTCACCAAGGACCCATTTACAGAAGAGACATCTGGGAAGCACGTCTCTGGTCCAGTGGTTCTTGAATTGGTGTGTGTATCAGAAGCACCTGGAGGCTTTATTAAAACACAGACTGAACCCTCAGTTTCTGATTCAGCGGGTCTGGGATGGAGGCCAAGCATCTGCATCTCTACCAAGTCTCCAGGAGATGCTGATGGTCCACAGACATCACTCAGAACCACAGCTCTAACCCAGGTTACTTGTGAGCACATTAATTATTCATGAGCATTTCTATCATGTGGCCAGGGACTGGACTTCAGAGGGCGGAAGAAGCCTCTCAGGTCAAGGCTAACACACCTGGCTGAGTAACACGATCATGTGGGAACTTTTTCTTTCACATTTAATTACTGGGGTTGGGCTTGGGCTCCACCCCAGATCTACTGAATCGACATCTCCAGGATACCCTGGGAGTCTGTGTTGTTTTGAAGTTACCCAGAAGACGGATTTATTACAAGGACTTGAAAACATTGCCTTAGATGAGCTAGAATTGTGAGTTCATGAATAACTTATACTAAAAAAAATTATTTGTTGTTTATCTGAAATTGCAATTCAGTGGGGCATCCCGTGCTTTTATTTGTAAATCTGGCACCCCTACTCGGCTGTCTCTGTAGGAGTTTGCTTCCTCTGTGCGTTCCCTCTTTTGCTCAGCATAGCCCTATTTTAAATGCTCAAGGGAGTGGTGGTGAGGCAGGCAATCCAAGAAAATATGATGTGTGGGGGTGAAGAAAAGAAAAATTAAGATGTTTCCTGGGGAAAGAAAGAAAAGGAAAATTCATTAGACAGCAGAAACACAATCAGAAAAAATACTGTCTGTGAATGGTCTTTTACCAGACAATTCGTCAATCACACAGACAAAAGAAACCCTAGAGAATAAAAAGACACCCACCAAAGATGCTACTAAAATGCTCCAAGTGAACCCACAGATAATTAATTTCAAACAAGAATAAGCTATAAGAACTCAGATACTTCAAGGTGCTGAGCGAAAGGCAGGCTAGATCTACATCAGGCTTCAAAACAGATGCTTCCAGGTGAGTGTATGGTTCGTCCAGAGACAGGGAGGTAATGATGTCTGCCTCCTCCCTGTTTCATTGGAAGCTAAAGAGTCTTAAGATGAGACGCTCCCAGGGCAGCAAGGATAAGAAGAAAGAAACATACAGCCCAGCACCCGACAATAGCACAGGAACTACTAAGGGACCGAATCAAATGAGTGGAACAAATAAAAAGGAGAAGAAAAATTCACGGATGCATGTTAAGGAAAGTGCTCTGGCCAATCACTGCAGAGGCTGAGTAACTCCCACGGGTACCATGGTCCCTGATGCACTCCTGCCATTTCACAGGTTAGGGGGTCAGTACACTGTCCTGCGAAAGACAAAATAGAAAATCTTGTAGACTTCGTAGCCATATGCTCTCTCCTGCAATCACTGAGCCTTGCTGTTGCAGCATGAAAGCAGCTGTAGACAATGTGTAAACAGTTAGGCAGGGCTGTGTTCCCGTAAGAGTGTGTTCACACAAATAGGTGGTTGCTATGGACTGAATATTTGTGTCTTTCCAAAATTCATATGTTGACGCCTAAGTCCCGGATGTGATGGCGTGTGGGTGTGGGGCCTCTGGGAGATAATCATGCAGGTGGAGCTCTCATGGATGTGTGATTAGTATCCTTATAAGGGAGTGAAGAGACCCGCGCTCACACTCTCTCCCCGGAGAGGATGGGAGAAGACCTCGGTCTGCAAACCTGGAAGAGGGCTCTCACCAGACAGCACATCTGCTGGTTCCTTCCCAGCCTCCAGAACCGTAAGGATGAAATGTTTCTGTTTAAGCTGCCCAGTCAGCAGTATATTACTGCTCAGCCATAAAGAAGAATAAAATAATGCCATCTGCAGCAACATGGATGGATCTGGAGATCATCATGCTAAGTGAAGTAAGCCAGAAAGAGAAAGAAAAATACCATTCGATATCACTCCTATGTGGAATCTAAAAAAAAAAAAAGAAAAGAAAAGACACTAATGAACTTATCTACAAAACAGAAACAGACTCACAGACATAGTAAGTAAACTTATGGTTACTGGAGGGAAAGGAGGTGGGAAGGAATAAATTGGGAGGTCAAAATTTGCAAATATTAACTACCATATATAAAATAGATAAAAAAACCAAACTTCTTCTGTATAGCACAGGGAACTATATTCAATATCTCATGGGAAATCAGGATTCTAGAAACAGAAGTTGCTCATTTGAAATTCTATGACTGTGTTGCAAGAAGGAGAGGAGACCAGGGGACCAAATGTTTCAGCATGTGTTTAGAAAGGTTTCTTCGGTGGCTCCGACACTGAGACGAGCTGACTGGATAGGGGAGAGGGCCATCTTGCCAGTGTCTCTGACTTCGAGCTGCTATTACCTGATGTACACATGAGGCGTCACCCTCGTTGACCAGGAAGGGTTCCTGACCCTCTCAATTCACTAATTTTGCATTTAGCACCCTAAGAAGTGTTCTTCCCCCAAGAGAAAAAACTAAGCCACGTGGCATAGAATTTTATACTTCAAGCTGGAACATCTCACATGTGATGCAAACTTCAATTGGCCTCCTTTATGACACTGATTAATGTGTTTCACCTGAGGTCAGCTAAGAAACACAAGCATGCATTTTACACACGCACTCAGTTTACATTGTATAATTTAAAACCTTTATTTTCCCCCACAATTAGCAAGTGGGCTTCAAAGTAGTTCAACTGGAAGTTTTCTTTCTATGGTTGCCTTTCTCATCACCTACACCTTTGGCGAGGAAATGGCTTTCCATCAGGGGAAGGGTTAGATTTCATGGAGATGCTCTGAGCTAATCAAATAATGAGAGGGTCTGACCCAGCAGCCCCTGACAGAGTCGATGAGGTCAAGGAGTCCTTCCAGCTAAAGGCCCAGTCGGGTGGGGACAGCAGAAGACACCAGCAGAATCCTCCTTGCAGAAGTGACAAAATGCAGCCCCTTTGATCAAGACGGCCTAAAGGCCACGTAATCCCCTCAGTCCCTGCCAAGTCCCCTTCCTCAGTGACCTCGCGCAGGAGCACTCAGCTAAGCAAACAACTGGCTTCTGCTTCGGGGTCCAGTGCGCCAAATGCAAGATTGGTCTTCAGTCGAAAGTTCACTGTTTACACAGTTGTTAGCTTGTGCCCCAGAGGGCTGGTCTCTGCCTCGCCCAGGGACAGCGGCATCATATCAGTGGCAGCACGAAGACCCAGGCCAGCGCTGGGAGGTAGAGCACCGGGGCGCCGCCACCAGACGTCCTCTGGGCGTGCATCACGGCGAAGACGGCGTTGGTGTGGTTGGTGGGTAATTCCACGTTGCAGATCATCCCTTCGCAGCAAGACCGACACTCCTGTTACCAGAGGAAGGGGAGAGGGAAGGAGCAAGTGACTTGTGAGAGGAAGGGGAAAACGGGGGAACACAAAAGGCTTCTTCAGCTCTGAGGACAGACAGAATTAGAGTTGGTTTCTCGTCCATGAGTCATCCAGGTTTGGGGGCGCCCTTCCTCCCATTACCCCAAAGTAAGGACCATCTTGAGAGTCTTTTCATTTTAACTGATTTATCTGCATCAACCCAAGCATAAGCAAGAGAAAGAGGAGGAAGGGAAACTGAGTAAGACCGCGTGACGAATCAACAGTTCTTCCGAACGGTTGTTGGTAAGGAGAAACACTGGAAAATTAAAGCCAGGAACCCTCTGGATTGGTCATTGGTTTCCTTCCTCAGTGCCACTTGTTAGGGATAGTGATGATGGTACCGTCTAACACCTGACTCCTATCACTAACGCGGCAATGGCTCGCTACCTATGGCTGCCGGGCGGTGAGAAAGCACAAGATGTTCTCAGGGGAAGCACCCTCCTGTCACGCTACCTGGTACAATGCCTCAACCGCAGTAATCTGGACGGTCACAGAGGTGTCCAAGATAAAGCAGCCACATCAAATGGCTTCCAGGACGGCCGGGTCAGACAGAGTACCTACCCCGGTGGTGCTCAGCGATGGCCACACCCCCAAAGCAGCTCGGGGCACTTTAACGACAATCCTGATGCCAAGACCTCCCGAGTAAGTGCTATTCCAGTCGGGCGAGGGCGCCCCATCCCAGCAACGGAGCCTGTAAAGGCTCCCCAGGAGATTCAGCTGTGTAGCCAGAGCTAAAAGGCATCGGCGGCAACCAGCTTCTGTACACAGAGGCTCAAGCAAATGCGAAGATAGCATGAAATTAACATACTTCCAAGTAAATTTTTCTCAAATGTCTCAGGATTCTAGGCAGACGGAAGAGGAAACTGCTCATTTAAAATGACAGAAGGAGAAAAATGAAAAAAGCTCAAGTGATCTAAGATATATCTGTCATTCACAAGTTGGGGTTAATCTTTCAGACTCTCACTTCCTCATCTAAGCAGAGGTAGTCAGTAGAGACAAGGTGTCCTTTGTAAAAGGTGTCACCATGTTCCTCTTGCCACCTTCCAGCTTCTCTGTGCAGTGATCTTGGTGATTTCTGGTCATAAACAGAATGTGTGAGCTGGGCGCTAGAGGGTCTGTCTCCCTCCTGGGCTTCTGGAGCTGACTTCAGACAGGTCACCCAAAGTCCAGGGCTTAAACCCCAGGGTGTAGCTCTGTAGCCTGGGAAATTATCGTCTGTTTTCACTAACATTCCTCTTTGACGAAGGACAGAAAGTCTTCAACTTCTCTTTCATCTCCACTGCATCAACATAAGGGAGACTTTCCAAAAAGTGTACACATGTTTGACCTAATATTTATCCTTACTGCCCCTTTATACACCACCAACCATCACTAGCAAGACACCCTCAGACAAGACCGTTACAAACCCAGCCACCCACACATCCTCTTACCGTGTGCTCAGAGTCTCGGCTGTGGTGGCAGCCCACGAGATGGCATTCACTTCTGGAGGCACACTTTTTGGTGATGGATGTACTCTGTCCATGACTGTTAAAGTGATGTACTGTCAAACAGTACTGGGTATCTAGGCAGGAAAGAAAAAAAAAACCATTTTTCACATTGCAAAAGAGAAACATTCAACAAGCACTTGAGAAATGCCTAAAATTCAGGATGATCCTTAAGTTTCTAGGTGGCATTTTTGAAAAGGCATTCGCTTCTGAAGCACATGTGTATTTCTAAAATGAACATAAATGGGCAGTTATCCTTTGGAGGCAGGGAAAGCTCAGGAAAAACTGGGCAAGCTCTTCATCAAAACCATAGGCCTACTCATTTCATAAGAGAATGTCAGACTCTGTCTCTCCCCCGGGAGCACATGCTCTGTCACTAACATAAAATGGGAATTCCAGACGTAACACAGTCGGTCAGAGCACTTCTTGTTGGGCTATTTGACATCTCTTTCTTATAATAACAGGCCATGGGGTAAACAAGCCCTGTGTGAGAGAGGGTGAGGAATCAGGAACCGAGCGTACCCCCTGACTTGAGAGAGAAAGGTGAGTATGGCGGAAACGAAGGCAGCTAGCGAGATGGACTATACCTATCCTTATACCTTTAACTCTTCACACTTTACTACTTAAGGTTCTTCCCAGAAAGTGATTTCATGCAATATCCTAGGAAGTTCCACTTTGCTCTTATTCTGCAGTTATCTCAGGCCAGTGAGGTGCTTCTCGGTTTATTGAGAAGGGAGCAAGGCAGAGATGGCATAGAATGAGGGGGCCCGGGCGTGGGGGACTTGACAATACAGGGCTTAGGGCGGCCTCTGTCATGAGTGAGCACGCCGTGTGAGACCCTTCCGGCTCATTTTCTTTTCAGCAAAGTGGTAAGTGCGCTGGTGTTTGGTAGGGCTGTTGTCAGGTTTAAGTGATAGTAACAGTATTAAGGGTGCACTCCTAACCAGTCGCACTGTGTATTCACTCAGTCCACACAGTGAGCCTTAAGATAGGTAAGTCATTACAGTATCTTCATCTTTTGATAAAGAAAATGAGGCACCCTCCCACTGGCAGAAAGAGGTGGAAGAGAAGGTTCCAGCTGAGGCAGTTTTCTAGGGTTTGCATGTGTTCTGCCTGGTGCTGCACTGGGCACTGTGTCGGGGGTTCCCCCAGAGCTGGTGGCTTTGCAGAACGTGCAGGGGCTCCCTTTCCTGCTGAACCCCAAAGGCATTTCAATTACTGAAAAAGGGGAGCTGTGTGTGTTTCTTGAAGAGTTTGTTTCTGTTGGCCTTTTATACCTGAAAACCTTAAAACCAGTGCATCCTAAAATCTGAATAGCCTGACCTCCTTATAGTTCTAAGAGTTTTCCAGTTCCACATCCACCAGCACAACCTGTCTGCTTCACCTCCAAGTCTACAGGCATGAAGTCATTCAACTTCTCACTCCCTATGTTCTTACCACCTTAGTCCAAGTCACCATCTTCTCCCACCCAAAGATGACGAAAGACCCCACTTGGTGTCCCCTTCTCGTCCTTATCTCCATCCTTTCTGCATCTCCCACTGGCCAGCCCCTTCCTGTTCACTGAAGAAGCCAAACCTGGTCTCTTGCAGCCTTTGCAGTTGCTGTTCCCCTTCCTGGCGTGATCTTCCTCCCAATCTCCAGGTCACTTGAGTGTTGGTTCAAATGGATATTCCTTGCAGGAAATTTCCTAGCTACTTAGTCAAAGGCATCCACTCAACTATTTACTGCACGCCTGTTATGGGTCTGGCACTGGATTAGGCCCTGGGGATCTACTGGGGACTTCAAACGATGCTCAAATGTCTACTGAATAAATGAACGAGTTTCCCAAGCATCACTGTATGTCAAGACTACATAAACCTGCTTTGCTTTAGCCCAGAAGTAGGACTTTTCTAGAGGTAGCATCAGGCATTTCTGACATTCTTAGAATGCCTTCGTCAACATCGTGGTTATTTGTTCTCACTGGTAAATACTGTTTAAGAAATTCTTCCTCAAGGCACACACAACTATAAATCCAGGATCTGCTGTCAGTTTTCATGTCCTCTCAGAGTAGTCTGATGTCTGGGTGTTCTTATAGAAATCAGTTTTTTTTTTTTTTTTTCATTGTCAGCCTGTTGGTTTGCTAGTCTCATCATGTGCGATGCCTCTGCCCAGGGCCAGGTGAGAGAGAGCTAGATGAGGTGTGTGATCAGGGAAGAGTCTTCCAAACTCAGCACACTTACTCTGCGGGCACCACTTGTCCTCTGCCCATCGATTACAGTCGTAATTGTCCCCTGCATTTTCACAGGTAAAACACTTGAAGCTGTTTGGAAATGGGGTAGCTTTAAAAAAATGTGAAGAGAAACAGTGTGGTTAAAAGATAAAAATTTCAAACATCAAGTATGCTACAAAATTAGCAACTTCTACTAGAGCAATGAAATTCACGGGTCATCATCCTTACATTTTATGATTCTGTGGAGCTGGGCTCAGCTGCCAGACTTTGGGGCATTTTCTTCACTTTCTTTTTCTTTAAATATTTTATCTGTGAATATCTACTATAGAGCGATGAGGATGATTCTATGAGCCACCTTGAATACCTATGGTGTTGGGCTGCGATGATGCAGAGCCTGGGGGTAAGTGACGGCTGAGCGTATGGGCAAAGGCGGTGGCAGTATTGGGACCAACACTTAGATATCTGATCCGTCCTCAAAAGAACTGGAGTCAGGTTAACCCGAGGTTGAGTTCTGCCCTTCTCACTAATGAATTGTGTGACTTTGAACCTCTAAGAAATATTGTCTATAATAACAGTAAAGGTGAGGACCCTGACGGCTTGTAAGAGGTATCGGGAAGACTAAGCAGGAGGCTGCAAGAAAAGCATCTGGTAGAGTCCCTGCCACGTCAAACCGTGTGGCTTCCCTCCGTATGCACTTGTGTCACAGCTACGTTTAACTTCAAACAAGTAATCTCATTTGATAAACATCAGTTGTCCCAAAATCAGACTTTGACCAGGAATGTAACATTTAATATACGGATGATAGTAATTCTCAGGCCCTTACACTCAGGTAAGGGTGTAATGGAAAGAATTATGAGCTGCTGGCAGCCTGGACTGAGAGCAACCAGTATGTTCTTTTTGTCTTCAATGCTTCCCACCCCGCACCCTGCTTTGTATCTTATTTTGATGGTCAAGAAGTCAAAAGTAGAATAAATCTGACATTTCTCTATAGGCCAGAGTATCAAACCCTGTGTGAAACTTTCAATTCTCCTATTTTTGGAGACCTAAACAGACAGAGATCAAGGTGAATCCCAAACCACCCCACTAGTTACCTGACCACAAGTTGAGTTATAATTAGAAAGCAGTGGATAGTACACATAAAGGGGAGGATATGTATCGATGTAGAAAACAAGAGTGAAACGTCAAAACCTGAAGTTCAGGGGACATAAAATTAACTATAGCAAGTACATTTCAGTTTTGCCTATGCAGAAAAGTGAAATAGGTAGGTAAATAAATAATGAAACAATGAAGTCCATTTTCACCTACTCATAACAGTTTAAAAAAATACTAAATTCAATGCCAGCGGGTGAATAGTTAATACATAAATTGGCACAGACTTTTGATTTAGTAATTCCAAGAATCAATTCTAAGTTCATTAGCCAATTGAAGAGGAAGATGCATTTGAAAATAATTTCAATGAAGCATTAAGATTTAGCTTGCTTGTGATGGTGTGTGTATGTGTATGGGGGTCCAATGTAAAGGGGAAATAGTTAAATAAGCTACAGCCAGCTATATGATTACACAAATTAAATATAAGACATAAAAATACTTTCAAAGTCATGGGGAAAATATTCAAAATATAGTGCAAAGGAATAAAAAAGCTGCTGCAAAGTTAAATTTGTGTGATCTCAGTAGGTCACATATTTAAATACACACACAGACGAAAATCAATGGAAAGAAATACAGTTGACCCTCAAACATCGTGGGGGTTGGGGCGCCGGCCCTCTCCGCAGTTGACAATCTTTGTGGAATTAATAGTGAGCCCTCCATGTGGCCCCCCCGCGGATCATGGAGTCCTGCAGTAACTGCCACTGAAAAAGATCCAGGTGTAAATAGACCCAGGCCGCTTAAACTCGTGTTCAAGGGTCAACTGCACTCCAAAAATGTAAAGAGCTCACTCTGAATCTTGGGATTATGAACAGATTTTATTTTCTTCTGTATATTTCCTGTGTCTTTGGAATTTTCTATAATGACCAAATATTACTTTTTGCTTTTTTAAATAATTTCTTCTCATCAAAAATTGCATTTGGTTTAGAAAGTTCAAAATGTGTCGATAATTCAGATTTTATGAAAACTCTGTGTACCGACAGCTTAAGGCATGGCACAGACGATCTACCAAGTTGGAAATGTGTAATAAATGGTAGTTCAAGGTGTGTGGGGTATACGTGTGCACGCGCGTGTGTAGTATATGTGTGTGTAAACACACTAATAACTGAATGTCCTAAGTAACAAAACGCAAAGCACAGGGCAGTAATCATACAGACCTCATTTAGGAGAAGTATAAAGGCAGTGGTTCCCAAACCCGGCTATCCGTCAGTAGCACCGGGAGGGCTATCTTAAAGAGAGGACGACGGAAAAGAGAAAACAGACACTCTTGCTTCTCAGCCTCCTGACTGCTGCATCTCGGAGGAAGGGACCCAGGAATATGTGGTTTTAAAGGCTTACTCGTCCAGGTATGGGGATCAGTGATCAGCATTCGCATTTCTACCACAGAATTTTTTATCTCTAACAAAGTCTCTATAAAGTCTATCAGAGAAGTTTTACTTGTCTGAAGAGAGAGTAGGAGAGAAAACATATATATATATATATATATATATGTACACATATATGAAATATTAATATTTATTATCCTATAGATAATTACACTATTTTCTTACTTTTTAAATTATTGCTGGGGAAGTTGAGTTTTGCAGCTTCTTCCAGTGGTGACTGTGAAGAATATTAATGAAAATCCAAGTAGTATTCCCCTCCAAATTTCACACATGCTACTCTGCTTTCAACATTGTTATGGCCATTTGAAAGAATAGCTAATTTATGCAGGAACGTCCCATAGTCACATCCTTCTCTAAGGAAGAGATTGACCAAGAACACTGAATTTCCCTGGCTAAAGCCATTCTTAGGCACTGTGTTCAGAAGATCGTTTTAAACAAGAACTCCTCTGAGACATCAGCAGGAAGCCAAACCATTTTAAAGAAACGGAGAAAATGTATTAACCTTACCCATGGGATGCGTGGCGACTTTCTGGTTTATTCTGGGTATAAACCAAATGTTCCAGAAAAGGCAAAGTTACTATCGGTGGAAACAGGGACTTTGAACAGTCACCCCAAAGACGACAACCACTACTTACGGTCAAGAGGGGGCCGCACGTTATAGAAGTTGATGTTCTTGGCAAACGCCCGGCTTTCTGAGAAGATAAAGGTCTGGACCACAGCTAGAGCGAGGGCAGGGCAGAGCAGCAGCATTCTGACCCCGGTGTGGGAAAGTCCAAAACTCACAGACCTGCGGGGAAGACCCTGGCTGAGTTTATCTGCAGTTTACACAGCACTCATAGAGTGTATTTTACTTCTGTTTGGAAAGCTTGATTATTCAAATTTATTCAACCATCTCCTTGTTCTGTAGGGCCAGCGCCCTTCCCCATCAGGTAAGCCATCACTGCCTTCTACTGCTCAGGCCTCTGCACGCCGGTGGCCCTGCGGGTTCCGGAGATCGAGCAGCAGCCCTGGCCCGGCGGCCCCCCTTCCCCTCGCCAGGTGGGCCGGTGTACTTTGTGCTGAATCTCCCAGTCTTTTAATAACTAGGGTCTGGAGGCACACTCAGCAGGAGTCACTGAGCCTCCTACCTGAAACGCCGCTCCGAGTCAGTACTTGGGCTGGATGAATTCTGCAGCTTTTTAAGCCAAACTGGGTGGAAACACTCAAAGCTGGAGCAGTGGGCAGGACAGTGGGTAAGAGGACAACAAGTTTGAGAAACTAAGACCCTGCTGGACTCCGGAGCACACGGACGCTGAGAAGACACAGGAGTCACCGTGAAGTGCCATCCCCACCCGCTTCTGCCCCCTCGGGAGCGAGGAGGCGCTGCAGGAGGTTCTGGAAGAAGCAGTTACAGCCGTCTGCGTAACGCTGGTCCTGGCCCACAGAAGCTGCCCAGCACTGTCATCGACTTAAAGCTGGCAGGGCTGGGACCCGTGAAGTGACAGGCATGCACACAGCACTAAGTGAGATGTTCCATCTTAGGCCGCACAGGTTCTGCCTCCAGGAGCAGACCCGCAGTCAGGAAACCTTCAGGAGAGATGCTCAGAGCTTGTGGCATCACCCCCGACAGGTTCTCTTTAACAAGGAGGTGTGGGCAGCAGGAAAAGGATGTGACTTGGAGTCCAAAGACCTCAGTCCAGGTGCTGGCTCTGCTATTTGTGAGCAGCCTGACCTGGGGCAAGCTCTTTAAACTATTAACCTCAATTTCTTCATCTGTAAAGTGGCTTAATAACACCCGCCCTGCCCACACATTTGGCATCAAATAGAGGCTTGGGCAGGACTGCATGTGTAAGAGCACTTGTGATACAAGTTCTGTGAAGATGTTGGAATCTTATGGTTCAACAATATTGGCTGAACCCATGTTCTGCTTGCTGACTCAACTGGTCTCAGTGGGTTTAGGGAGTTTCTCAAAGAAAAAAAGTTTGATCTCCACATCTCTGGGCATATTTCTTCACCAGGATATTCTGTTTGAAGCCAAGATAAGAATGTGTGCATTCTAGGGCTCTTACTCCCTCCTCTTGTACTGTGAGCACACTGGCTTCGCATGTGTGGTTAGTACCATCTACCTATAAAGAACTGGATATTGGACAGAATGTGGCTACAGAATCGTACCATCCCTATAGATGGCTTCTGCCACTGAGAACTGAGGTCCTGCAGAAGTACCCAGGGTGAGAAACACCTGGTAAGTTTCACAAAATAGTGCTACACTTCATACACTGCATTTTAGTTCAGTGCAGAATTGGCCCTAGTAATATAAAAAATACATATTTAATTCTGTCCTGGTCCATTTTAGAAACCAAAATTGACCTTTCACAGTTATCAGGTTTCTAAATCCCATTCTTATGCTCTTTCTGAAGACATGAACATTTAATGAACTATGTTCTTCCTTACAGACAAGTGGTTTTATCGACACAAATTCTGCTTCTCCTGTTCCTTTCTCTGAGTTGGACTGTTCTGTATTCATCATGAATCTGTAGTTGAGTAATGGATACTCTTTCTCTACCTCAGTGGAGACTGTCTGAGTTGGGGAGACCACTCCCTCATCCACAAACCTCAAAATGACCGTGTTCCAACAGAAACCCACAAGTGTCCCTGTAACAAGCAGAGGATGCTTAAGATCATAGATTCCATGTTACCTACATTCAAGTCCCTTTTGCATCCCAAAGCGACTACGGAACTTGAGACAATTAGCTTAAGCCTTCCACGCCTCAGCTTCCCCCTCTGTAGGCGAGGTGTAACAACAGTCCTTCCCTCCCAGTGCAGAGGGGAGGACTGAACGACACCATGCACACAGAGCTCTCAGCCGGGGCTGGGCACGTGGGTAAAGCCATGTTTATTAAGCACTTTCTAGTCGGTGGTAAAGCGCATTGGCTCAAGTACCTGCCTTCACGCCTGTTATCTGTGCAGCATCGTGCAAGTTCCTTAACCTCCCTGTACCACAATTTCTGCATCTATAAAATGGGAGTAATAATAGTAACACCTTGTAGGGCTGTAGGAGTTAAATTAGTTAATATACATAAAGCACTTGGACTATCTAACTAGCTACGTGCTCAGCACTTGGCTAATTCTTACCAATAAGCATTATTATTATCCACAAATCCCCCACCCACTTTGGAATCACAAGTCAGAACCCTTCATCTTCCTCATGGAATCTCAGTGAGACAACAGCCCATTCACTCATTCAACATGCCATTATTGACACTTAGTACATTACACATTTTTATCGCTAGATCCCCAACGAGGTCTTTGCTCTCAGGCAGTTGGCATTTGAGAGAGAAAACAGGCAGTAAATTTGGAAAAAACCCATCGTTTCAGATAGTCATAAATTCTACAGAGGAAACAAGAGAAGGTGACACATTGGTGATGCGGAGGAGCTGCTTTACATACATAACAGGCCTGGACATCTCTCTGCATAGGTGACATCTGAACAAGTGATTAAAAGATGAGAAGAAAGGGTCCAAGCAAAGAATCAAGGGAAAAGGAACCAAGGTCCTCAGATGGGAAGCAGTGAACCTCGTTGGGGGAACTCAGGAAGCAGCCAGGTGACTGGAGCACACAGAGCGGGGAACAAAGAGTCGGGGGAGGAGGGCAAGCCACACAGGCACTTACAGGCCACGGCCAGGATCGCAGATCTAGCAAAGGCAAGAAATAACTTAATTTCAGACTATCTAGTTTTTAAAAATACCAAGAAGCCTTCGTCTCTGGAGGGTAGTCGCTGGCCCCGAACTCCGAGCCTGATTTCTGGCTCCTGGAATTAGGGAATGCAAACAACAGTGAAGAGAGAGGAATACAGCCTTCCCACACACCGCACAGGCTCCTCTGGGGAGAAGACTTGAAGACAACTGAGGGAACGACACACCCGAGAATTAGACTTGGGTTTTGGTTTCTCCCTTCTTGGAACGAGCACTGCAGGGAATGTAGCCTCATGACTATTATACAACCGAGGACGGGGGGCTCAGGGCCGCCCATGCAAAGACCCAGCACACTGCCTGGAACACAGCACCCCTCAGGCCGTGCCCACAGAGCTGCTGCCAGCCTACGGGAGGCGCCAACTAGTGAAAAACCACAGGAATGTGCTTCCATACAGGCTCGATGTATTTCCATTTCCATTTTTAACTGAAATAGCATAATCTTAATCTATTAAAATTCTCCAAAACTGCAAAGGCTCTCACCTGCCAAATGAGGAGAAGTGCTAAATAACAACGTCTCATATTTTCCAGAGCAGGCTTCAGACCCTATTACTACTTTTCCCCCCAAGCACCTGCATTTATCTCTCTATTTTTCAGTGTATAGGTTGTGTTAACATGACTGTTTTATTTTTCACAACCAAAAGACATGAGGGTAATGAAAGAGCAAATGACTAAATTATAGTATCTGAAGGTTGTTTTACATTTGGAATCACTTCACGGAGACTCTGGACTAAAAATCATCTGCTGAGACTTTGCTGAGTCGGCTCTTGTTGCAATCTTTGTCGCAAAACAAGGTTACAGCAGAGCTTGTGTTCTGTTCCAGAAGGGAAAAAAAAAACTCTTTACTGCAAGTTACACTAAACCGTCCTGGTACTTTCTCTAGGACCATCACATAGAGCAGAATTCTTCATATCGGGGAGGGGGGACTTGTGAGCGTCTCAAGGTTATTTGCAAAATTCTGTGTCCATGCACATTATTTGCCGCCTGGGTTACTCTCTCAAAGGAATCTGAGACCTACCTAATGGTTAAGAACAGCTGCTTTCTGATTCAGAATTCAGCCATTGTGATTCAGCTTCTTGTAACTTAGATGTTTTCTTATCTTGACACTAAGGAAGCTCCACATATACCTTAGGTATCTGAGCCACACTTCTCAAACTCAAGGGTAGCTCCAAACATCCCTCCCCAGACCGAGCTCATTACCATCACCCATCTTTCCCAGAGAGCAGGCCTGGTCAGCAGCCCCTCAGCTGCAGTGGTCTTCCCTTTATTATGGGAGTCCTCTCTCTTTGGAAAGTATACTAACTCTTGTTCCAGAACGCAGTGTGCGTCTGTGCCAGGAGAAGGAAGGGCTTCCCGGAAGGCACGTGTGTAGGGATACAGCAGGGACAGGCACCTCCCAGGTATTCCAGGGACAGCAGGCAGGCAGGCAGATTCCTAAACGCAGGAAACCCCATGGAGACTTTGGCCCACAACTGCCCGGAGTAAAGGACCTACAAGGTATGGTCAGAAGGATGACTATTTCCCAGGTCTTAGCCACAGTCGTCATCTCGCTGTACACTTCCTTAAGGAACTCAGGAAGTGGCACATCCTTGACATCGTAAGCTCTTTTGAGGTAGAAAAGGACCTACATTACTTTTTATATTTCCTAGGCCCGCTCTCAGTACGTGGTAGATAATCAATAAATACATTTTGGACTAGAACCAACACCGTTAGCTGTGACCTATAAGGACCACCTGTCGTAACAAAGGTTGTGGGCAGTAAGGCGCTTGCAGAGCATCCAACGGCAACAAAGAAGTGATGGGCTCAAAAGGAGATCTGAGAAAGAGGAGACCAAGCCGAGGCAGTGACGACCGGCACTTCTGGCACCATTGCTAAAAGTGAGTCAGTGCGCACAAGGCCGACCTCAACCGCCAATAAAACAATGAATGAAATAGATAATTTAAGGGGTGCAGCTCTACCAAGTCCAACACGCCTATCAACACTCGCATTCACACCTCCTGCAAGTGTTACTTATCCCGCAATGAGACGCTTTAATGACAAGCATTAATAGGCCTGGCTT